TAATGAATGGTGAAGTTTTTAATCTTCAAACCAATCTGACACATTCAGAATTAATAAACGGTGAAGTTTTTAATCTTCAAACCGAGTAACATCTGATACAACTAGATCTAATAAATGGTGAAGTTTTTAATCTCCAAACCTTGTAATTTGTGACACAATCAAATTTAATAAACGGTAAAGTTTTTAATCTTCGAACCGAATAATAAATTAGAGTAGAAAATCACTAAGATTTTAATCTCCAAAGCGAGCATAAAGTCACTTAGACTTTAATCTCCAAAAATGAATAGAACGTTACAACGATTTTAATCTCAAAAATAAAGTAGAAAATCACGCAGATTTTAATCTCAAAGTAGGAGTAGAAAATCACTAAGATTTTAGTCTCCATAATGGGATTATAAATTTACGAGAATTTTAATTCCCTTTCCAAATAGTTTTTCCAACTAAACCATTAACACTTTAAACAGTTTGATCTTTTTCTCTAATCAAATACATATATGTTCATCTTTACATATATTATGATCTCAAGAATAGTTTCAAGTATTAGGTGTAAGCCTAACTCGTATCTTACAACCTTGAAATAATTTTTTCACATAATTTCAAGCATGCTACCAAAGTTATATATCAAAAGAAATAACAAATATAACTTTAGTTATTCTTAATTAATGTGCATGCAAGACACAATATATATTTGAGATCATCACATAAGTAATAAGTCATTTGTCCTAACATTTATGAAATCAGATTTCACAAAGATCACAACTTAAAGGATAAATATATATATATATATATATATATATATATATATATATATATATATATATATTATTAAGAAAATAGAACCCGATTTTATTGTCACTTTCTTCTTAGACCGTGACTTTGTATCATTCGTTTGCAACATTTGCAACGGTTGATCACAACCCTTGACATGGGGCTTCTTCATCCTAGTTAGGATTCTATTTTCCTTCAGGCACCAAACTCGGCTTCATAAACAAACATCACACAAAGTATATTTCCAACACATGCATACAAGATTCTTTGAGAATCAACTCAAGAGGAACAGACACGTTTTTACATATATTTTTTTTCCTCTTGTTTGTGCTACACAAACGTAGATTCCTTCCAAGGCCATCTCCCTGTGGCCAGAATCTCACAAACTTTAAGCCTTCATCTATATGATGATTGACTTCGTCTTCCGGTGTACGTGATCAACGCTAACTGCAATAGTAATAATATCTCTTGTACCACCCAAGTGAGATTTGAAATAGTGAAAAGTGAAACCAATTCTTGGTTTTCACGTACTTGAGTTCTTATGGTTGGAACATCTGTCCCATACCAATAAAATGTCCATGTGACCATAATTATGGGCATGCAATCAAATTGTATGGCAACTACTTGTGTGGACATACAACACTAAATACTTGCGAAAACACCAATTAGATGTCACAGAAGATACTGTTCGTTTGTTATTCTCCGTAGCAAATAGACTGCCATAACTCTACTCTGTAATTTCTCTGTTAAATTCCTTAAGATTGTTGGTATTATACTGTGTTCAAAATCAGAAAATTGGAGAAGTAAACAAACGTTAGTTCAATAAACAAAACGTGAAATAATTTCGAGCCCACTGAATGCACAATGTGTCCTTAAGGAATTTAATCCCCTCACTGTTGCCCAAGGTATACGGATTAATTCCTCCCAGGATAGAACGGAATAACTATTCTGTGATAGCGGCACTTCAAATCACCGAACTTCAGTGAATTCAACAAACAGAGCAAATCACACTTGACACTTATGTTTGTTTAGAAAATAATGCAACAATGTAGAAAAGAGGGGAGAAGATTTCAGATTTTTCATATCTGATTTCATGTCTGAAAAATGAGGCCAAGCCTCTAAATTTATAGACAAAGGAAGGGTGATATGGAGAGGTGCAATCTAAAAGGTGTCTCTTTCATTTCCCATTCACACCCCTTAATAAAAACGCAACACGGATTTGTAGGCGCGTTTTGCTACTATATTCATGAATACAACAGTGCGAATACACTAACGTAATGGCTGGATAGTAGCTCTAAGAAGTAACTATGTATATGGTAGCAATAAGAAGTTAATAGCCACTAAATAATAGTGATTTCTGAAAATTCCTCTTAAAATTTTTTTGTATAGAAAAACCAATTTAGCAAAATTTTTGAAATAGAAGTCTCTGTATTTTTTTTTTTTGGGTGCAATTGGCAATTTCGCATAGTATTATAACTTAATAGTGATCTTTAACGAAGGTATATATAGTATTTGACAAGTACAAATCCTTTTGTTCTCAAATATTTGTTCACCTAAAACTAGAAACATAAATATTCATTCCAATTTTTTATGTGACGGTAAATTATGTAAGAAAAGTTACCTTTCTCAACAAAAGAGGGTAAAAGGAGGAGTCTACACTCTCTCTTGGTAGGAAGTTGGAGATTTTAATAGTTTGGTTCATATTAAATGCTTCAACAAAAAAAGGTTGCCATGTTTTCAGTGCCACTGTTGAATGGTTAAAATCAGGCATTTGTCCTTCTCAGCTACAAAATCACACACAACACAGAAGCAGAAAAGACACCAGTCTATTTCTCTCTCATTGGTGGTTCACTTTATCAAGGTAAATTACACACGAAGGTCTGCAGAAACGAGACCTTTTCATTATTCTAGCTAAGACAAACTTTAACCAATTGCTGCTTTTACCAATTAATTCGTCCATCTTTTTAACAAAAATAGTAAAACTGGGTCTAAGGCTTGAAACTTCTGTTTCAATTCCAAAGAAAATTGTCCAAGCCAACTCGTTTCTACTCTTTTTCCCTCTTCTACAGAATCCAAGCCAACTCTTCTTTTATCGTTTTCCCTTCTTTTTTTTTTTCAGAATCCCAAGCCTACTCATTTACTTACTCCTATTTTGGCTACTGCACTTGCTGGCTGCTGCTCAAGGATTTCAGGATACGAATTTTTTTTTTTTTTTGGTTAAAAATAAATTTTGTTTCGATTTATATGTTACAGTACTTTTTTTGTCCAAGCTGTCCCAAAAAAAAATATTATACTTTCTTACTTAAGTAATTCAACTTAAAAATATCATTTTTATTATTATAATGTGATGATTTATAACCAAATAAATTTCTATAGCTTGTTATAAATTACAAGTTTCAGAAGTTTTTTTTTCTTAAATTTTATGTCTAGTCAAATACGGCAATATAAATTGGAACGAAAAAATTGTTACGTAACTTTACCAACATTGATAATAGTACCAAGACAGTAAGCCAGTAACCAGGCCTGTTCAAAAGCACAAATTACAAGAGGTGGGTAGATGACAATATAAAGTTAGAGCTAGCTCTCGAACAACTGACATTAGTTGCATGAGGCTTCTTTTTGTCTCACAGTTTTATGGACCCAGATTTTTGTGGACGTAGGAGTGTAAGATTGGGATCGACAAATTTATGAGACAAAAAGGAGCCTCAGACAACTAATGTAAGTTGTGTGAGACACACAATAAAACTCCTTCTCTCAAAACTATCCAAATTGCTCCTGTATATTGCAAGTTTGTCGGCAACAGATTTTGTATGATCCTAATAATAACATTAATGCCACTGAATAAAGACTTAATTAATTAGTCTTAACTTGATACCTGTATTAAAAATGATCGTTAGTGTCAAAACGTAAAAGTATTGTCAAAATCAAATTAAGAGAGATGATTGTAAAGGACAAACCCGATTCAAGGATGGTCTATGTAATACAATATCCAACTCGTTATATATATGTACTTCTTTGTGTCCTTGGTCTTGGATTGGTGCTTTACATATGCTTGATTTTAATTACGTTGGATTGTGTTGAAAGTTAATTTGAGTTTGAAAATGGTTTTGTTTATTTCTGAATTAGTCGTAGGCAAAATAAGGGATAAGAACACTACAACAAGGCCCAAAAATGATGGTAACTGTGAGTGAAATAAAGGCTTAAATATCTTCATGATTTTATAGCTTGTATAAGTATGTAATCGTCTTGTAAAGGCAATTATAATTACAAAAAAATTAAATACGTTAATTAGGTGAAATGTGTAGCGGTGCTTCGAATTAGCTACACGGATAGACCGTATTTGACAAACGGTGTGTGATCGAAGACGGGAACTAGAATTTGAAGTTTATGGGTTTTGAGTTCGTCACTTAATTTATGGCTCGCCTAAATTACGTACTGGGTTCGCAATTTGATATTTATACATATTTTTTAGATTTTCTAATATAAATACAGGATTTAAGCAAAAACTATATAGTTCGTCTGGAACCCATAGCTACTGCTCTCCTTCTGCCCCGATGTGGCATGCCACATAAACGGGAGAAATTCAAAAATAGCCAGATTTACATGTGGTCGTTCAAAAATAGCCCAGTTTCAAAAGTAATCGAAATCTAGCCATTTTTCATGTAAAGATAAATCTGAGCGAAAACACTGTTCAAAACCCGAAAAATACGCCAGTATATTATGCTAGAGTTCCAGCATAAGTATACTTGAACTCCAGCATATTATACTGGAGTTCCAGGATAAGTATGCTGGAACTCCAGCATAATATGATGGAGTTCCAGCATAAGTACACTAGAACTCCAGCATAATATACTGGAGTTCCAGCAAAGTATACCAGTCCAGTATAATATGCTGGAAGTTCATACACAAGTGCTCGAATCTCCAGTATATTATGCTGGAACTTTCCGTGTGTTGGAGTTCCAGCATAATATGATGGAAGTTCATACACAGGTGCACCGAACTCCAGTATATTATGCTGGACCGGTCTCTGTTGCACCAAAGTAGTGGCTATTTTTCATTGACTTGGTAAACGCTGGCTATTTTTGAATGACCAGACCGAAAACTGGCTAGACCGTGCTATTTTTACCACATAAACAAGAACTTCAACGACTAATTGAGGACATGGCAGGCCCAACAGATTCATGTGAATGTAATACTCGACTGAAGAAGGGGTGCATATAACACCTTAGACAGATAATACATGACATGGGTTTGGGCTATGACCGTGAGGCCCATGACCATAAGATCCATAACACAAGGACCATGAGAATCTATGACATATATTGCATATGAGAATTTGAATCTCGACCAGTAGTACAAAGAAACATAAACTAAAATCTTCCAACTTACAGACCACATAAAGCTGAGTTGATATTCTCCACAAAAATTACTAACTAATTTCACTAGTAAACCTAAGATATGAAGATATCCAGACAACAAATTAAGAGTAACATACAACACCCCAAAATTTGGGTACAATATTTTGAATTTCTTTAATTTGTCGTGAAAAGATCATCTACTTGTTTTTAGTCTTCATCAGTCTTGTGGAGATTCGAAGATGAGAGGACAGACGAAATTCCAGAGCTAACAAATGCAGCTACATGAAGTGGACTAGGGGCATACATCACCGACAAGAAGTTATGCATCTGTTTTGAAAAATAGTCTGGGAATTGAGCTTTTGATAATTCCACTGTTGCACCTAGTGCTGCTCCAGCTCCAGTTGCCAATCCCGCTAATATAATCTGCACAAAATCCATCAACTTTGTGTGATTGACAAAAAAAAAAATAAAAATAAATTGCAGTTTCCGGAAAATAGGCATGTTTTAAAACATTCTGAGACATATTAATGTTTTCAATATATCTGGAAAAAAGGAAAAGGAAGAATTTAGTAGTTAACCTTGTCACCAAAAAATTCAAACATGCGAAAGCCCTGGTGGTCTACGAGACGTTTCTTTGCTACCAGGTGATATGCTGCAAAGGGAATATGCAATATAGTGTAAACAATTCCTGCTACCAGTACACCAAACATGTACCTGTACAAATAACCAATAATCATCATCATTATTAAAAAATTTCCGTACAAAATAAGCTGTATGATCTTATAATATATTTTATGAAATTTGTACCAATTAAGTTAAAAACTTCCAACTTTTCTTTATACGTCATTTCTAAAATTTGAAACGCAAAATCAGTCTAAATCTTCAACAAAACTTAAGTTTGAGCATTTCTAATATTCCTTTAATTTTATCATTGCAACTAACAAATTCGTTAAAAGGTGACTAACCTATCAACTCAAACGAAGACCAAGAAAGGGAATATTAATTATTGAAATATAAGCATAACATTAACATAGCAATTGCATGCATCGCAGCGCACTAAACAATGAATGGGGGAAAGTTTTCTTGGAGAAAAAAAGCTTTATGGGAAAACATTCACAAAATTATAAAAAAAAAAAAAAAAAAGAAACAAACGAACAAATGTCTATTTTAGACTAATTTTATCAGATTCCCAAAAATATACGCTAAATTCCAGCTTATAATCTCCTTAACAATCATCCACAGTTCGTGATTTATTTTTGTTTTAGGCATCCGATATTGAAACCACCTGACTCCATTATATTTAAATTCGCGTCGGATAGATTTACTAAAATTTCGTGATCTTATATAATTATTTCGTTCTTTTTTGTTTAACCAATTGGCCACTCTAAGTGTGTGATGATTGAGATTGAGGAGAAGGAGATTAGGAAGCTTAATTACCTGTAAGAACTGTAACCCTCGTAGTTAAATCTCCCACCTTCCATACCATTGTACATCCAAGTAATTTCATTATTCTGCAACACAATTAATGAAATTACACAAGAGGCTAAGGTTACCACCCTTGCCAATAGTGTAAACAATGGCATCTTATTGGATGATGATGAAGAAGATGGCTTTTCATTAAAGTCATACTGAGGTAAGTCAGCCATTTTTATTTTTTATTTTTACCTGAAAAGCCTCTTCACCATAGCACTAGGAAAAATTTTCAATGGTTGTCTTTTTATAATCTTGTAAGGACTCGATTCCGTTATATGAAAAAGACTGATTCAAAGGACAACATATGTCTCACAAAGAAGTTTTCGTTATTTAATTACTCTTTTGCAATTCATGTGGTTTCTTTCTCTTCATTTTTTTTAGTCTTAAAATATTAATAAAATTTAAAATGCACTAGATTTTTTTTTCTTCAAAAAACACCCTAGATGTCACTCAGTTTATAAGTTGCATACTTAAAGTTTACATTACCCCTTGAACTACAATTTTTGGAGTCTATAATTGCCACGCAACGTGTTAGTGGAGGAGAGAGAGAAGGGTTTAGTTCCTTGGTGTTGTTGGCACTAGGGCTGTACAAATGAAACCGATGAATCGCATCAAACCGATAATCCGAATTAAATCGGAGAAAAAAATCCGATTATGATTTAGTTTGATTTGGTTGAGTTAATACCCTAAAACCCCCTTAAACTATCACATTTTTGTCAATTTCCTGCTTAAAATATTCAGTATCCCCAAAATCCCCCCGAGGTATATTGCCGCTCGTATTAAAACCCCCTCGTCGCTGACCTTGCATAACATATGTAGATACTCGCGTGGGAGCGTGAGGTAGCTGAAAAAAGCCATCAAAATGGCCCGCCTAACAGAAAATAATGGTTAATTAGCCTAACCCTCTTTCAAATTTATTTTTTTAATAAATATTCTCCTTATTTTAGATATATCCATCTTTCTTCATCATTATTCAACATTCTTCCTTATTTTTTCACCATTCTTCTTTGTCTTTCACATTCTTCTTCATTTTTAAACCTTTTTTCTTCAGTTCTCCATATGGGTTCCCTCTGGAAAAATTTCTCCATTTCTTGTTTCCTCTGTAATTGTTTATTCTCTTTCGTCTTTTAGTCTTCTTTCATGTCTTACACATATTGTTGAAAGAATACCAATTTAAATCTTCTTATTAATCTCAACACCTTGTAAAGAATAAAGTTAATCTCTTGAACCTTCTTTATGTAATATGAAATTAGAGAATGTAATTGCCGGGCAATTAATTTTGTATTTACGAAAATTAATTTTTTGTCACGCCCCAAACTCGGGGAGCGCGACCGACGCTCAACCGAATGAACCCGGCCGAGCAAGCCTGTTAGATACTTTCTACCCAAACTCACTCATGAACAAAGAGAAGACATATTCTCATTAATTAGACAGTAGGGAGATCATGTATACAATACCAAATCATCATTCATTAGTTACTTCATTTTTAAAGTCTCAAAATACGCACATTTTCATAGTCTGAGTGCAACAAGTGATTCAAACATAACATGAATTAGTTGACTTTCTCCAACACCGACGTACGACCCACACTATGTCTACGGAGCCTCTAACAGATACAAAAGAGTACAATGACAGTGTCAGTAACAAGACTCCGGCTATACCTCGAAACATGATAATATAATGAACAAAAGATACATGACCCTGGAATGAAGTGGGGCTCACCAAGTCTGCTGGGAGGAGGGTGTATTGCAATCACTCATCAATGTCGCCTACTGTGGAAGCACCTGCATCTATTAAAGATGCAGCGCCCCCGGCAAAAAGGGACGTTAGTACCGTCGAAAGCACTGGTATGTATAACTAAATACCCTCTCAATATAATGAATAATAATATATGGAGGAGCAATCATAAAATCAATGGAATCCTCAAACAATACCAAAACATCAAGTTAAGAACCAAATAAGTTTTCAAGTAATTATCTATATTTTTAGGTTGAGAGATCTTTATCACCGATATACCATCAATCACAATGCCACCGAACTTTTACACGGAGTCAGATCACGACCGCCCCATTTGAGACATCAACCACCATCACAGTCTCAATTACAATTTCCAGCACAATCACCACCATGTGTGCGGCATAGCGTCCGATCACGGCCCGATTAGCTAGGCCATCTCACCCGAGACATTACCCTTTTCTATAATCATCTCAGTTCATACTTCTTTCATAGATTTTCAATTCATTGGAACTAGTGGCCACAATTATAATATCATTCTTTGCACGTGCCCGTATTTCATATTTCATGCTCCCCTTTTCACTTTCACACACATCATCATCATCAACAACAAGACTTTTCAATTCAAGACTTTAGGTACACATGTGAGAAATTAAGGGTCTTAGACATATAGATATTTTCACATAATTTGGCATGATAACCTTCATTCAAACTTGACTTGAAGTCGTAAAATTTATATCACACAACCCATACTTTGAACATATTCTTAAATGATAACATAGCATGATAAAAGCATTTGGAACACATACTGAACATAGATCTTTCAACACAAGTTTACTCAGAATAGCCAATTTCATAATGATCAACTCGAGTCTTACATAACTTACATGAACACTGTGGAATTCAATTCTAAGAAAGGAGTTTAGCCAAATACCTCAATTGAGCTTCCTTAAACTCTAAAGTATTCCGTAATTCTTAGCAACTTCATTCTATTTTAGAAATATAGCAAATTGAACCAAAATTAGGAAGATGATCATGGTTCTAGCTCATATTGAGCATTTTATCTAACACTAGGTGTGCACTAAGGTTTCAAGGTCCCTTTATGGAGGATTCCATCATCCCACAACCCATCCTTTACCATTTTTAGCTCACGATCTTCTTACACCCTTTGGTGACACATGCATGCAAAATAAACAATCCCATGCCCAAGAATTGTCTTGCTTATTACCCATTTCTAGTTAAATTTCGAATTTAAGAGTTAGGGTGTAGAATATTACCTCTAGGATGAAGGCCTACCACTCTTTCCTTGTTAATCTTCCAAGATTTGAGTAGGAATTGGTGGATGAAGCTTAGGAACTCCTTTGTCACTCTATGCCACTCCCTCTCTCTAAAAACAAATAATTTATCCTTCTAAAACAATCCCCAAGGGTGTTTTATTAGAATGGGGTCGGGTTCAAAAATTAAAAAAATAAGAGCCCCGACACAGGTCTGCGGCCGCATATGCGGCCATATAATGCTTCTACTGTCCGCAAAATATCCCTCTGGAACTGGGCAAGTCTGCCCCACTCTGCAGCCATTATGCGGTCCGCAGACCTGGTCTGCTGCCGTATAACGCGTCGCAGAACCTCCCTCCGAAAAATTTCCATTCCAAAATTGCAATCGGTGTGCGGCTCGCAAAATCGATGTGCGGACGCATAATTGACCGCGAATTGGTCCTACCATTTTGCTCAAGTTTCTGCTTCACTCTGCAGCCATTCTGCGGCAGCATAGTGGGCCGCAGAAATGTCTTTTTTTGCCAACATTTTCCTTAACTCCTCAGTGCACTGTTCATCCCAAAAAGTCCGTACCACAAAATCTCGAGTTTAAGAAAATTTACGGGGCCTTACATCCTCCCCCTCTTAAGATTATTCGTCAACGAATGATGGTCAAAGTTCATTATTAGCATCCGATGTGACTCCACTGTCATACTACACACCAGCAATCCCAAATTTTGATTAACTCCCAAAATTTCCAAAAATTTCTCTAGAGTTTCACTTGTAACTAGGCCTATCCACCTTCCAGAGAACCCCAGAAACAAATCCTAACAACATATACATAATCCAATGGCGTAACATAACACAGCTTCTGTCTTCCAACCATCTAAGACCGGATTCAATAGCAACTCCTGCACCCACTGAGTTTGCACCTTCTAACATGAACAACACCAACCGTGGCCTTATAAGCAATATATAACCAGAAGGGAACACTTTTTAACATCAACTATACAAGTGATACAAAATTCATAAGTGACAATTTCATAGAGATTACATAACTTTTCAAACAAATAAGGATACTTCTTCTTCATTTCTTCCTCGGATTCCTAACTAGCCTCTTCAACCTGTTGGTTTCGCCATAGCACTTTCACAGATGCAATTCTTTATTCCTCAACTTTTGGACTTGCCTATCAAGAATGGAAACTGGAATTTCTTCATATGATAGTTCTTCATTAGCCCCAATATCTCAACTGGTATGATAAACGACGAATCTCCGACTACTTTCTTCAACATAGACACATGAAATACCGGGTGCACTAATGACATCCCAGGTGGTAGCTCAAGCTTGTACGCCACCTGACCAATCCTCTGAATGATTCTGTACGGATGGACATACCTCGGACTCAATTTCCCTTTCTTTCTAAACCGCATTATACTCTTCATGGGGGAAACCTTCAAGAATACCCAATCATATTCTTTGAACTCCTAATCTCTGCGACGAACATCCGAATAGGACTTTTGACGACTTTGAGCAGTTTTCAACCGCTCCTTAATGATCTTAACCTTCTCCATAGCCTGATGCACGAGGTCTGGTCCTACCAACTCAGCTTCCCCAATCTCAAACCACCCAATAGGAGATCTACATCTCCTACCATATAACGGCTCGAATGGTGCCATCTGAATACTAACGTGATAACTAGTAACGACCCGGCCGATCGTTTTGAGAGTTAGATCCCCGATCCCCTACTAACTATTTTTCTCGTATCTATTCTGCTGTTGTGAATTTCCGGGAGGTTTCATTTTGGATTTTTGGGAGTATTTCGGGCACTTAGTCCCTAAATGGAGATTTAAGCTTTAAAATTCGGACCGTAGTTGGAATTGTGTGAAGAAGACTCCAGAATAGAGTTCCGTCAATTTCGTTAGCTCCGTTGGGTGATTTTGGGCTTACAAGCGTGTCCGAATTGTGTTTTGGAGGTCTGTAGCTCATGTAGGCTTGAAATCGTGAAAGTTAAATTTATAAAGTTTTGGGTCGATAGTGGAATTTTTGATATCAGGGTCGGAATCTGATTCCGAAAGTTGGAGTAGGTCCGTGGAGATGAATATGACTTGTGTGACAAATTTGAGGTCAATCGGGCGTGGTTTGGTTGGTTTTGGCATCGGTTGTCGAATTTGGAAGTTTCAACTTCATGAAGTTTTGATTGGAGGGCCATTTGTGTTTTAGCGTTGTTTAATGTGTTTT